GAGGTGGAAGGCTTGCAGGCCAGCCAAGAATGCCAAGTGCCAGGCTTTGTAGGCATCATTCGTGGCTATCAGATTAACTCATGGGAGTAGTTTAAGCCTAAATTGTAAATTTGTAGGAGGGAAAAGGGAACATGACAGAACCTGCTGAGAGGGAGAGCACTGGGGTGGGCCCTTGGGTCTGGCTCCTGTAGTTTCTGCCCACAAGCCTTCTGGTTTTTCCAGGTCACGCTCCCGGGATCGTCGTCGCAGACGATCAAGATCTACCTCCCGAGAGAGGCGGAAGTCTTCCCGTTCCCGTTCTCGAGACAGAGACAGACATCGCCGCCACCGTAGCCGTTCCCGGAGCCACAGCCGGGGACACCGCCGGCCTTCCAGGGACCGGAGTGCAAAATACAAGTAACTACTCTGACTCCTGGGTGGCTGCAGCCAGTAGTGAATCCTTTTCTGTGTGTTCCCAGGGTCTGCTGGGGGGTCTGTCAGCCCAGCTGTTTGGCTGCATCTGATAGCTGGGCTTGGAGGGGAGCCTAGCCTGTCATCCTTGGCAAAGTGTTGGGATTTTGAGGTGTGGTGAGCAGGACTTGGCTTGGAACTGGAGAAGGTTGTGAAGGAGCTCTCAAGGACCTCTAGGTGGTGCTGCACGGGCCCTAGGTGCAGTCTCTTGATGCACAGAGCAGCCAAGATGTATGTTCTGACCAGGGCTTGCTTACCTCTTTGGGCTTTTTCCATTGTATTTTTACATAGTGGGTCATATGCCATGTGTACAATTTTGTTGTATTCTCCTTTGTCCTGTTTATGTTATAGTGCAAGCTTTTCTTATTAAAAGTCTTTGCAAACATCACTTTTTAATGGCTTCCTGACATTCCCTGTGTAGTGGGTTGATTTGGTTTTTTTTGTTTTTTGTTTTTTTGTTTTCGTTTTTTTTTCTGGTACCGGGAATCGAACTCATGACTTTGCGCTTGCCAGGCAGGTGCTGTGCTGCTGAGCTAAATCCCCAGTCCCTGTGTAGTGGGTTTAGAGTGAGAGGGCAGGCCGCCTGCCTAGGGTGTGGTGGGGCATGACTGTCCCTGGTTCAGCTTTGAGGGTTCACATTGTTGCTTCCTGAGCAGCTAGCCAGCAGTGGGATGGTAGTCTCCACTGAGCCTCTGGTTCCCCTTTCCCAGGTTCTCCAGAGAGCGCATGTCGAGAGAGGAGTCGTGGGAGTACGGGCGCAGCGAGCGAGGGTCCACGGACTGGAGGCTGGAGAGCTCCAATGGGAAGGCCGCTTCGCGGAAGTCAGAGGAGAAGGAGGCCGGCGAGATCTGAGCCCTTTTCCTGGCACTGTAAATAGTCTGAGAGATGTTCAACATAGCCTAAAATTACCCTTTATATTTGCTGAATACAACTCATCTTTTGTAGTTTAAATTTCTGTTGTTTGGAGCTAGCTGTGAGTTTCTAGAGTCATGCAGAGTTGCTCCTATGTTCTGGGGTTGTGTTGCATAGGAATAAATAAACCTGTCGGACTGTCTTCTGACAGCAGAAATGGGGTCTCTGCTGTCCTCTGCTCCAGTGGCACTTTGCCAGAACTCTTCACCAGTGTAGACAAGGACTGATGCTGCCAGCACCTCAGAAAACCTACTTAACTTTCCAGGCATTTTGACTTTTGGCATGTGACATGTGCCAGGACCCTCCCCACACACAACCCTGACTAGGCTAGGTACATGTGGCTGTCTCCCAACCTAGCTTACATCCCGTGACCCAGCTACTTCATGCATACCTCTCAGTGCAAATTAAAGAGCAGGCTTTCTTGGGAAGGAGGGAGATTGCTGAATTCCCTGTCCTTCTCCTATCTGATCAGTTCCCAGCTCAGACCCCCTATACTGCAGTTGTGCTTTTTAAATTATTAGGGGCAAAATAAAAGAGACCAATGGAAGCTCCCCACACAGCAGCTAAGAGGTCCTAAGGGAGGCATGGTAGCTTTGGGTCATATCCTGGGGCTCCGTTCAGCTATGATTCATCCCAAGGGTGGGCTGCTTGTGTTACCAGTTCTGCTGTTCTCAGTTACTTTAGGACCAAAATAAGCTAGCTTGTAGATATGGGGAGCACCATCCCTTTTACTTTTTTTGTTTTGTTTTATTTTTTTGAAACTGGGTCTGGCTGTGTAGTTCAGGCTGGCCTCGAACTTGAAATGATCCTCTTGCCTCAGCCTCCCAAGTGCTGGTATCATAGGTGTGCACCACCACACCCAGCCCCCTTTCACTTTCCTAGGGCATTGCAGGAATTTTAGTATTTGTTTTTGGAGGAAGCTTTTGTTGGTCACATTGGTAAAACACAGAGTTACCCATCCCTACTTGTGTGCAGAGGCATAGGTGCCAATTTTGGCCTGGTGGCTCATTGGGCACCTATAGGAGCTTATGAACACCAGCTTCCTAAAAGTGACTGCTGATTCTGCTTTAGGTCCCTCCTACTGCCGTCTGTCCCTTGCAGAAGGACATGTGGGTGGGTAGGCTGCTCTGCTTGCCTGTAACACTGGACTTACCTAGCCAGCTGTCTCCACAGGAAAGGTGGTTGGGAAGGGACATCATTGCTGCTGTGATGCACATATGTGCAGACTTCCTCATGGGCATCAGGGCCCAAAGGTCTGCTCCTGGACTTCCGTGGAGGGAGCAGCTGAGTCTGCACTCCCTGTTCCTGAGTGGACATTCTGCTAGTGGCTGTGGCAACCCAGGCCCAAACCCAGCAGTGTTTGTAACCTGGGTTCTCTGGGGCTTAGCCAGATAGCCCCACCCTTAGAACCATTACCACTATGAATGATTTAGTCCCTTTTCTATCTAGACATAAAATTCTGTGTGGAAAAACAGTTGTGTTTTCCTTTGTTTTGACAGGGAACAGGGTATACCACCAAAGGTTCTGGACAGTGAACGAGGAATCCATTTGCCAGCTCCTCTATCATCTGAAGGATGACAGCTAAGGACAGCACCTCCTTGGGCTGCAGGGTCAAATGTTCCCACCCTTGTGTGGTAGCCCCAAGTTAGTGCAGCCCTGTCGGTCACTATGCATCCACCCAGGGAGAGGAACTGGGATAGGTACTCCTCCCTCTCACCGTGCAAAGACAGTGCTGTGGGTCTGTTGTGCCCTTCTCAAACATTCTTGGTCAAATTGAGCTCCTCCCCACCAGCCCCCATTTTTTTTTTTTTTTTTTTGGAGATAGGGTCTTACTATACAGTTCAGGCTGGCCTTGAACTCAACATGTAGCTCAGACTGGCATCAAATTCAAGGTGATCCTCCTGCCTCAGGCTCCCGAGTGCTGAGATTACTGGCATGTGCCACCATACCTAGCCCCAGTGCAGTCTTGACCTTGCCCTTCAGTGGCTTTTCCTTCCTCCCATTTCATCCGCAGATCAGCCACTTGCACTGACTCTCAATTTGCTGCAGGGAACCACACTTGTACCTTCCCATCCAGTGTGGTCCTTCCTTTCCACAGCAGTGCCTGCCAGTCTGAAAGATACTGGGAGGAATTATCTGGGCCTGGGAGGTGTATCCCTGCCCTGTGAAGAAATGTGCATGTCAGGGTCTCCCCACCCAAGGGGCATCACCTTCTCTGCAGCCCAGGCTCAGCCAGACCAGAGGGGTCATCCTAGAATATCCTCTGCTCACACTGGGAGGAGACTTTTCTATATATCATTTGGTAGTGTTTTTAGAAAAGCAAGATAATAGCTCTGCCTGGTAGGTGGTATTGACTCAGCTTGCTGAGGAGGGGTGAGCCTAGAGTCACATTTGCTTTCGTACAAAGGTCCCCTTGGGGTTTGGCAGTAGGCAGGAATTGGTGAGAAGCCCTGGGTGGGTTAAGGGTTGTCCTGGGAGGGTAGAGGTAAAGAGCACCAAAGCTGCAGTCACAGTAGACCCTGCTGGGGTTACTCTGGCATGTGGCATGCAAGTATTGGACTGTGGTAGGCAGACCCAGCATGGACAGCAGCATTTGTTGAGGAACACTGCTGCAGAAGGGCCTCCTGCCTCAGTCTCTCTCCTAGTGGGGGCTGTTGGGTTTTTTTTTAATGGATTATAGTGAAATTATATAATTATAGTGGAATAATATATTCTACTTTGTTTGGAAATGGGGTCACTTTGTGTTCCCCAGGCTGGACCCTTAGGCTCAAGCAACTGTCCCAGTTGCTAGGAATACATACAAATGCCACAATGCCAGCTTCTGTACCCCAACTCTATATATTAGAGTTCTTAAGAGAAATAGAACCAATAGGATGTAGGGATACATAGAGATTTACCATGAAGGATAGGCTCTGGCCATTACAGGATCAGTTCCAGGGTCTGCTGTCTGCAAGCTGGAGGCCTAGGAAAGTTAGTGGTGTTCAGTCCAAAGCCAAAGGCCCAAGAATCATGGCAGGAGATGGTCATCCCAGCTCATGCAGAAAAGAGATTGGTGCTTCTGTACTTTTTCTATTTTTGCTCCCAATGGATGGATGATTGTACTCAGCTGCATTGGCAGGTGGTCTGCACTCTGCTGATTCTGGTGCCAGTCTCTTCTGAAAACTTAAGACACCACTAAGAATAATGGCTCTATGAATTACCTGGACATTCCTTAGCTCAGTCAGATTGATGAAACCTTCACATACCCCTTAGTTTTTTTTTTCTTCATACAATCTGCTCACTGTACTTTTTGCCTATGTCATTTTAGCGATACCATTTCTTTTTGTTGTTTTTTAGGAGGTTGTGTTTGTTTTTTTGTTTTTTGTTGGTTTGGTTTTTTTTTTTTTTTTTGAGACAGGGTCTCACTGTGTAGTTCAGGTTGGCCTTGAACTTACTGTGTAGCTTAGGCTAGCCTCAAACTTGGAGCCATCTTCCTGCTTCAGCCTCCCTAGTGCTGGGATTACAGGTGTATATCACTACAGTGAACAAGGATAACCATTTCTCATTTTTGTTTTTTGTTTTTTTTTTTTGAGACAGGGTTTCACTGTGTAGTTCAGGCTGGCCTGTAGTTCAGTTCAGCCCCGGGTGACCTCAAACTCACAGCAGTCTTTCTGTCTGAGCCTTCTGAGTGCTGGGATTACAGGCATGTGCCAGCACGCCCAGCCAAAGATACCATCTTTTAAGGAAACTATCTCATTGAGCCTGGAAAGACCTGAAATCCATTACTGTTACCTGTCTGGGTCTAGCCTGTTTCTATCCATGTGTGGTATGCATGAATCATGTGCTCTGGGATATGGGTTCAGTTTCTTGTGCACACAGGACACAGTTTACCATGTGTCAAGTGGGAGTTGAAGAACAGTGAATGTGCTAGCCCCATTCCTTGGGCCCAGGATACACCAAAAGGGCCAGTAAATTTAGTATTTTCTCAAGTTTCTTCAATGACCAAGATTGATTTTAGGCAGATAACCCTACTTACATCCTTGTTAGATGGGCCCCAGCCACCTTGTTGCTACGTAGCGACTGGATCCTGCCTCAGGAACCACGTTCTTCCCCCAGGTCCAGAATCTGGCAGCACCAGGCTTTCACCACAAGCCTTCTTGGTATCAGTGTCTCCCCACAGGTTGAGCCTACACTGGCAGGGGGAGTGATCCTTAATTTTTGCAGGCTGTGTCCCAGTAGTCTTACATACACCCCCATCTAAGGATATACAGCTCCTGCAGATTGGCCTTGACTCCAGTTGGTGAGGGGCCATGCTGTGGGGCTGGAGGAGTTCTGGGGAGAGTCCAAGCTGGGCACCATGGCAGTCACGGTAGCCCTACCACCTGAGACCCATCTACCTGCCACCATCCTGTGGGGCCAAAGCTACCACACGTCTATACCTTGAAATACTCAGACCTGAAGGTGAGATGTATCCTGGTTCATGATTGGGAATGTGACCTGATACCCCAGATTTAGGGAATAAAGGTGGCCTGAACCTTACAGAAACTTTATAAAGGGCCAGGAAGTGGGTAGGATGCACACCCTTTCCCTTCCCTGTAGGGCAGAGTACCTCCCACCCCAATCACAGAAGACACATGCAGCAGCACACAGCCCTAGGGCACTTTACTCAAATGCTGGGATCTTGGAGGAGGGGATGGGGGATCCATTACCACCCTCACCCAGTTCAGCGGTACTTGGAGGCCAGTGCTGATGTCACGAGGCTCAGAAACTTGTCCAGTGATGCCTGCATAGCAGGGCTGAAGTCTCCAGGGTAGTGCCGGGCGAGAGTCACCAGCAGACAGTGGACCAGGAACTGTGGGCAGAGAGGTCATGTGGAGGACCACCTGGACAATGCTCCGTGAAGAGCAGTTATCTCCATTTTGGCTAAACCTGGCTTTATTTCCATGTATCAATACATTAGAGAGCTGGCTAGGACTTTTCCTTATCCCCTCAATTGGCTTTAAGCAATGCAGATCGGTCCAGCCAGGTGCTGATGTGCAGTCTTTGAAACAAGGGGACAGATTCAGTGTTCCCTGGCCCCGTATCTCCCAAGAGGCATCTGTGAGCTGGGATCGAGCCTCCAGAAAAGAGGCTGTAACATCTCAGATTGTAAAAAATTAAACGAGTTGGAGCATCGACCCCAGAACGTTAGATACTGCCTCGAATTGTGTTATGCAGATCATTCTTTCTGCATATCCTTCTCTCTGCCTTTTGCAGAGGTGATCTCAGACCTCCTATCTAGCCCAGCTCATGGTTCTCTCATCTTCCTGCCACTGTCACCCTTATCCGTGAGCCACTCCCCTCTTCATGGATTAATCAGACCTGAGTGGATGGCTAACTGTGGTCCAGTTTGCCATCATCCTAGCTGGACTTTGAACCCTCTTAGCTCCCCTCAACTACAGATATACCTTAATGTCTTCATTCTTGCCATGGGTTGCACTGAAGTGGTGAATTGGAATTAATTCCAATAACTTTCCCATGAGATTACAAACAAAACTTTCTGGGCTGCAACAAGGAACGGGAAGGGCTCTCTATAGGGCTGCCCTCCCTGGGTTCATCGTTGAGCACATCCCTGGTTGGCACTCCAGCCCCACTGACAGCTGCCCCGCCGGCTCGCGCTCACCTGGAAGTTCGTGGGGTCTACGCGAAGCTTGTGCGCGTGCAGGTCGCTCAGAGCAGACAGCGCGTTTGGCAGGTCGTACATCTGGTTCACTGCGAGGGTCAGCGCGTCGGCCACTTTCTGGCCGTGGGCTTTGACCTGGGCGGAGCCAGTGCTCAAGTCCCAGTGCGGGAAGTAGGTCTTGGTGGAGGGGAAGGCCAGGAAGGTCCTGCAGGAGAAGAAAAGGGTAGATGTGGGCATGGCTGGGGCAGGTGTGCACAACCCCGCAGCGGGAAGATCAGCGGTGGAGTCGCTGGACTCCCAGCCGGGTCCGCACCTTTCCAGGGCCTCGGTCGCATAGATACAGACGTTGGTGTCCATCTTGTTCCACAGTGCGCGCACCATTGCTTGGTCCCTGTCGGACAGTGCCATCCCAGCTGTAGCGGAGCGCTCTGAGCCCAGGATGCACGCGCCGCTGTGAGGAGGGATGTGCACAACCTCCAGGGGGCGCCTGCCGCTTTCGCGCGGCTCCTGCGCTGCGTAGAACCTGGTCCCGGAGTCTGAGCGCCCCTGCCCACCCATCTCCGACCTGCAAACCTTGGAGTTGGCCTGAATCCCCAGGCCTCACATTTTTCAGCGTTTGCTACGTATTTTGCCACTGGAAGTTAGTGTTGATGTTAAGAGACCTCCCTGAGTCTCTTTTCTCAGATAAAATGAAGACAATTTCTTCTCAGAAATGAAGTGAGAATTAAATGAATAATAAATATCAGGTGCCTGGCTCCCAGAAGATATTCCTTTAAGACAGTGAACATTTATGGAGTGCCTAGGATGAATTCCAAAGTAATAGTAAGTACCTGTGCAGCACTCACTCTGCCAGGTACTACACCACACTTTTTTTAAAAATTGAAGTAAAATTCACATAAATTATTACTTTAACATCTTAAAAGTATTCAAAGCTGGGCATAGTGATACATGCCTGTAATCCCAGCAGTTAGGCTGAATTCAAGGCCAGAGTGAACTACATAACAAGACCCTGTCTCAAAAGAAGTGTAAAATTCAGTGACAGTAAATTCAGTGTTGTGCAGCCACCACTACTTTCTAGTTCCAGAACTATTTCATCATCCCAAACAAGACCTCCATACCCGTTAGTAACTACCTAACTTCTCCAGGAGTGGGCAGCCACTAATCTGTCTTCTGTCTCTAAAGATTTACATGTCCTGGGTATTTCAAATAAATGGGATAATATACCATGTAGTCTTCGTTGTGTGGCTTCCTCTACTCAGCATGTTTTCAAGGTTCAGCCACATCCTTTAGGAACTTCATTCCTATTTCAGCACTCAGGAAGCTGCAGGAGAGGATGTCTGCAAGTTTGATGCCAACTGGGCTACATAGTGAGTTCAAGGGCAGCCTGAAATACAGAGTGAGACTGTGTCTCAAAAAAAAAGTGTCATTTCTTTTTATGGCTGAATATTTCATTCTATGTATATGCCATATTTTGTTTACCTATTTATCCACTGATATACATTTGATGTGTTTCCACCTTAAGTTTCATTTTTTTTTTCCTGGTAAAATAACAAAGGCAACCTCTTATCCAGAACTCAAACTATTCCACAAGAGGTGCTAAGGGGATGCTAAGGCGTCCCAATCTGGGCAGAGGGCTGCTACAGGCATTTTTCTAGGACAACTTTTGAGCTCAAGTTAGAAAGGATGCTGGTGTCGGCCAAGGGCTGGAGCTGCAAGGGTTCCAAGCCCAGGAACCTCAAGCCCTCCTGAGGCCCCAAGTCGGGCCTGCTCTGCAGGGAGGAAGCACAGTGGAGGAGGGCTTTGGTCAGGCCTTCCCAGCTCTGTCTTTTACTATGCCACAGGATAGGGAAACTAGGCTTAGGGCAGCTGAGTGGGTGCAGGACTGGGCCTAAAGACTGAGTCTTCTAATTTTGGCCTTAGGACATCAGTGGCTAAGCAGTGATCATCTTGGGGTGGCACCTCCAGAGAACTTTCTTTTGTCACCCCCAGGTTCAGCCAGACTGTGAAGGGCATGAGGGTTTATCAGTAGGGTGTGAAGAGGGAGGAATCCTCACCATCCACCTCTGGAGGAGCCCTGGAGAGCTGAACCAGTGCTCAGTGCAAGTTTGTGTGTGTGTGTGTGTGTGTGCGCGCGCACGCAAGAAGAATGAGAACCAATGGAGTAGTGCAGCAAACTCATGTTGAGTCTACAAAGCTCTGGCATGAATCAGTTATCCCAGCAAAGCACTTTCAGGGTCAAGGGCTTGTGCATTGAATTCTTGAACCCCAGGCTCTACTTTCCCTTCTCTGCCCTTCTGTCCTTCCCTCTCTTCCTCAACGGGGAAGAGACCTTTGCTCCAGGTCTTTGGTATGGTCCTAGGACACAATGACCACCCCTAATCTTGGCACCATTGTGGATACAGAGAATGCAGAGGCCATGGTTGCCGCCCACTCAGACTTTATTCAAAGACCAAGAGGTACAGGTGCAAGGAAGGGAGAAGGGCCTGACAGGAGACCCCGCAGGCAGGGGCAGGTTCGCTCCAGCTTAACGGTATTTGGAAGTCAGCACAGTGCTCACAGTGGCCAAGAATTTGTCCAAGGAGGCGTGGGCCGCGGGGGTGAGCTCTGCCGAGTGGTGGGCAGCCAGAGTCACGAGCAGGCAGTGGCTCAGGAACTGTGGAGAGAGAAGGTGTGGGTGAGTGGCTGCTGACCACAGAACACATCCTGACCCCACCTTTTGGAATCTGTGGATCCTTCCTGGCCGGCGGAAGCACTCACCTTGAAGTTCACAGGGTCCACACGCAGCTTGTGGGCGTGCAGGTCGCTCAGAGCCGACAGGGCATTGGGCAGGTCGTCCAGATGGTTAGCGGCGTTGGTTAGCGCATCTGCCACCTTCTTGCCATGGGCCTTGACTTGGGCGGAGCCCGGGCTCAGGTCAAAGTGGTGGAAGTAGGTCTTAGTGGTTGGGAAACTCAGGAACATCCTGCGGGGAGAAGCAGTAGATGAGCGGGGCTAGGGAGGCTGCGGGCGGACAATTTAGGGAGTCCCGGACGCTGGGGTTGCGTTGGTCCCTGGTCAGAGCAAGGGAGAGGAGGGTCCTCACCTGGCCAGGGCCTCCGCGCCGTATTCCGCGCCATGGCTGCCAATCTTGCTCCAGACAGCCTTCACGTTGGCCTTGTCATCAGAGGACAGCACCATGGTGGATTCTTTCTGAGTCTGTGTCAGAACCAGAAGCGTGTAGGACCGGTGGAGTGCGGCGCATTTATGTCCCCGGGTTCTGGGGCGACGCCCTCCACAGCCAAGCTCATTGGCTGGCGCGGGGCAGGGCGCGGCCTGAGGGGTCGACAGGGGGCGCCCAGCATCCACCAATGGTGCAGTCGGGAACTCGGACCCTTCGGCGCTGGAACCATGCGCCCTGACACATTGATTCCTCCTACCCTCGCCTCCCGGCTGGAAACTGCACTCCCGTCCCCAGATGGTGGTCTCGCCTGCTCTTCCGTGAGACAAGGAGGGCAGCCCACACCACCTCCCTGCACCTAGACCCGCTGCACGCCAGACGTGAGTTAACAACAGAATCCACGCAGCAGCCACCCCTTGTAGGAGGAAGAGAAGCGTCGCCCATTCGGGGCAGAGAGGTGCACACCTAAGGATGCCCTTCTCGAAGTCCTCCTGCTGTCCCTCCGCCTCGGTTGCTCCAAGCCCCGGCCTGCCCCAAAGCCACTGTGTGTGACTGAGTGACAGGCACAGGGAAGGAAGAAATGCCCAGGCCCAAACTGTCTAGGCTAGGCTCTGAGGTTCAGACTCAAGCTCCTCTACCCAGAGTGGAGGTGGCTACAGCCCCAGCTCATGGACTCACAGTGGGGCCTCTCCTGTCTCCAGCCCCTACTTTTTGTGTGAGTGATTGTGTCTCTGCCCTGTTGGCTCACTGTCCTGGCTAATGATGACATCCTCACTGCCCAAATTATGCATGATGGAAGACTGGCTAGTTTGATGGTGGCCAAATGATAAACAAAGCAACAGGCTGGACAAGACTCCAGTGTTCAGCCTCTGTAGGCACAGAGGCAGTCATCACACCATCACACAAGCCCACATCCAGTGGCAAACTTTAGGGAGGCCCTGAGAAGCATGAAGAAGACGGGATTATTTAGTCTGAGGATCAGGCTGGACTTCCTAGAGGAGGTGAAATTTAAAGAGTGAGTGTTAGCCCTGGAAAGCAGAGGCTTGCGGGGGGTATTTAGGCTGCACTGTAGAGGTGTAGATGTACCAGCTATCTACAACGAATGTATTCATGATATACGGCAAACATGTACTAATTTAAAAAAAAGAACGAAAAGAGGTAGGGAGATGTGTGGGAGGAGGACAGGCCAGACACTGCAGGGTAAAAGGGAGCCTGTTGATGAAGCAATGAGGACAAGAGTGTCAGCTGCTGCTGTCCCCACCCTCGTGCTGGTGACAAGTGTCGGTGGCGTTACTGCGGAGAAAAGGGTATGAGGAGTGCTTGCTACGCCTTCCCTGGGGCCCGGCGGAAGGGCTTTGCTGTGGGCTGCTGTCATTCTTCCGACCACTGCTCTGCCCGGGGCTCCCTGGGTTCCCTCACCTCTCTCTGTCTCGCTCCAGTATATCTACTACCTGAGCCTTTTTTAGGAAAGTCTTAGTCTTAGGGAATGTATTTCACTCTAAAACTTGTATATTCATATTCATTTTCTCTCTTTTTTGTCTTTTTAAAAAATTTTATTTTAAAGAGAAAAAATAAAACAAAATTTCAAAACAAGATAATAGGAGAATAATAACAATGGTTAATATATTCTGTATTGTTATCTTTAAATTAGTTACCCAGAGTATAAGGTATAGGCATTAAATTGTCCAAATAATATTAGCACAAACCTTTCTTTTCATTTTCTTGTCTTTTTGGTGCGGGGTCTAGCTATGCAGTTCAGACAGGCCTTGAATTGATTTTATAACCCAGGCTGGCCTCGAACTCACAGCAATCCTCTTGCCTCAGCCTCCCAAGTGCTTCTCTCTCTTCCTTTAAACAAGGTTGCTATATTTACCTTAGGTAACAAGCTGCATAGCTTATATCCTTTTTAAAAAACATTCTTCTAGGATTTTATCTTTTGAGACAGAGTCTCTATGTAGCCCAGGCTGGTCTTGAACTCACTATGCAGCCCAGGCTGGCCTCATACTCACTGCAGTCCTGTTCAGCCTCCCAAGTTTGTTTACTTATTTAATTACTTATTTATTTAATTCTTGTTTTATTTTTTGTAGTACTGGAAGGATTAAACCCAGGGCCTCTTGCATGCTAGGCAAACCCTTTAACAATGAGCTATACATTCAGTCCCTGACTTGCATTCTTTTTTATTTTATTTTAAAAATAAAAGGAGGAAAACATTAACAGACGGACAACCTTTTACAAAATAGCAAAAGAACAGTACAGACAATACAGAGTTACAAACAAAGTGGTAGGAAATTAACAATGCTTGTTGTACTACATATTGATATCTTCAAAGTGGTTTCTCATGAAAACAAATAGAGACATGCAATATTGATCAATCAAGGACTCATTAACAGTTTCTTTCAGCAAAGAAATAGAAGACAGTAAATCAACTATGTTAACTGTCCTGTGTATACATACATACAAAATTTCTCCTTCTTTCCCTTCTCTATTCCCACATCCCACTTGCCCATTACCCTTGAGCATTTTCCTATCATTTCACAGTGTCTGTCATACCTCTGAGTTTTTATTAACTCTTTCAGGTTTTACACTAGTGAGACAATGCGGTGCTTGCACCTGCAGGTCCTGACTTGCATTCTTAATGCAGAAAGAATTCCCACATCTAAATAAGCAAAAGTGTTGACAGGGCTGAACATCAGTTGGGATAGCCTGCACCTATAGAACCAAGTACTCACGTAGCTGTGCTGGAAGAGTGTCTTGAATATAGAAAGTCAAGACCAGTAAGAGAGTGTGGCCCCATCTATAAAACAAAAACATGGCTGGACGTGGTGGCACATGCCTGTAATCCCTGCACTGAGGAGGCTGAGGCAGGAGGATCGTTGTGAGTTTGAGACCAGCCTGGGCTACAAAGTGAGCTCAAGGCCAGCCTGAACTGCTCAGGGAGACCCTGTCTCAAAAAGACTGAAAAAAAAAAAAAAAAAAAGAGGCAGGAGGATTACCACAAGTTCTAGGCCAGCCTGGGCTACATAATGAGTTTGAGGCCAGTCTGAATAGCATAATGAGACCCTGCCTTAAAAAAACAAACTAACTAACTAAAAACATGGGTATATAACTCAGTGTTAGAATGCTTGCCTAGCAAATATGGGATAAGGCTGTGGATTCAGTTCCTCTGGCCAAGAAGAAAGAAGGAAGGAAGGGAGGGAGGGAAGAAAAGAAGGCAGAAAAAAAAGAAGGAAGGTAGAAGGCAGGAAGGGAAAGAAGAGAAGAAAGGACGGAGGAGGTGAAGAAGTTAGAAAAGAAACAAAGAAAAGGAAATCAAAAGGACAGTTCACACACACAAAAGAATCTTTGCAGGAAATTACAGAAACAATAAAACCAGAATGAGTAAGCCTCCTTGTGCTGGCACCCGGCTGTGTTCTCAGTTCCCAAGAGGCTGAGGCTGAAGATGGCTTTAGCCGAGGAGTCCTAGGTCAGCCTGGACAACATGGTAAGATCCTGTATCTTTGTTTTGTTTTGTTTTGTTGAGACAGGGTCTCACTATTGGTTCAGGCTGGTCTTGCATTCATGACAATCCTCCTGCTGTGCCTCCCGAGTGCTGGGATTACAGGTGTGCTCCACCATGCCTGGCCCAGATCCTGTATTACAAAAACAAAACAAAACAACACAAAGCTCCTGCAGCAGTTCCTGTACTAGCTTTCCCTCCACACAGACGGAAGCCCCTGGGCTCAGTCCCAACTGCTCACTCCGCCTTCCACAGGGTAAAGAATCAGGGCAGAGTGACTCTTTCCCTGCTTTGAATAAAACAGGGAAAGCATGCATGGATTTCAGTGTGTCTCTAAATGCTTTTCTACATTTAAAGAAAAAGTGGGTTGTCTGAGAAAGAGTGGATGGAGGGCGGACAGGAAGGGGGAAGCCCAGGAGCTCACAGAGGCACCTGTCAGAGAGAAGATGATGAAAGAGGCCTCGCAAGAGCTTTATCTACTGCTCCCCGTGTGACTTGGCTCTGGGGTGGCAGTGAGGGTTGATCCTGTTCTTAGGTTGGTGGAACCAGCCAGATTGTTCAAGGCCCCAGCTTGGAGGCCTGGGACAAGGGTGTTTCTGCTGTAACAGGAGGGCTGGCAGGACCATGGGAGGTCCCAGAGGGCCTGAGCCAAAGACTGAGGGACAAGGAGATGGCGCTCAGGGCTGGCGACACAGTGGGCTCCTAAGCTGCCTCAGGAACTGCAGGAAGAAGGGAAGAGGGACCCGGGCTGTGGAGCTTCCCAGCTGGGCTGAGTCTGCTCAGGGCCCCCATCCTCCTCTGTGTCCCTGACTTTCTGGGTTGCTCTGAGTGTTGCTGTGACTGAGGAACCAGGGGGCCCAGGACACTCACTCCTACCCACCTACCCTTGGGAGGGGTAGTAGTTGAGGTCAGAGCGATTTTCATCCTGAGCAGGCTCATCTTGCAGTGTTTCTTTTTCTTTGTTTCTGTTTGCTTGTTGTGCTGCTGGGGATCCACCCAGGGCTCCCCCTTCTGATCCATCTGGGCTGCGTGTTAAGAGGTGTTGGGCAGTGACACTGCAGAGGACGGCGTCCATCCTAGGACCCCCCTCTCTACGCCCTGGTAGAGCCCTGGAAATCTGGCCCTTCTGGTATCAGGGGCAGGTTCAGTGCCTTCTCTGGAGAACTCCTGTCCCCCACTGGAGCTGCAGAAAGGGCCTTGGTCCAAGAGGAGGAGAACCACATCCACCACTGGCACATCAAGGACACAGAGAATCCAGGCACACACAGGCTCCTGCCACCAGTTCAACTTTATTCAGAAATGCAGAGGTGCAGGACAGGGAGGGGAGGAAGGAGGTGTGGCCTCAGGCCCAGTGGGCAGGGTGGCATAACTTCAGCTTAACGGTATTTGGAGGTCAGCACACTGCCAACAGCAGTCAGGAATTTGTCCATGGTGGCATGGAACTGAGGAGTGAAGTCTTCTGGGTAGTTTTTGGCCATGGTTACAAGCATGGAGTGGTTCAGGAGCTGTAGTGAGTGGGGCAGCCTGTGAGTACCAAAGGGACTGGAGCCACCTGCTCCACCTTCTGGAACTCACCCTGTATCTCTTGCTTGTTAGCAAGATTTCCTGTGCCCTCACCACCCCACGTCCCTTAGCTCTGAGCACTCACCTTGAAGTTCACTGGGTCCACACGCAGCTTGTAGGCATGTAGGTCACTCAGATCAGACAGGGCAGTAGGCATGTCATCTATGTTCTCCACGGCCTTGTTCAAGGCATTGGCTACCTTCTTGCCATGGGCCTGGATCTGAGGGGATCCTGGGGTCATGTCAAAGTGGGGGAAGTAGGTCTTGGTGCTGGGGAAACTCAGAAACATCCTGCAGGCGGAAGATGTGGGTGAGTGGGGCTAGGGAGGGGTATGGGCTGAGAACTGTGGTGTCCAGCCCTGGGGCAGCTCTGCTACCTGATTTCTATGGAGCAGGGAGAGGAAAGTCCTTACCTGTACACAGCATCTGGGCTATGCTGGCCCCAGGTAGGCTCAAATTTCCTCCAGGCAAACCTGAGATAGGCCTTGTCCTCATCAGAAAGCGACATGCTGAGCCTTGCTGAGTCTGTGTCAGAAGCAGAAGCCTCTGGACCAGCAGAGCATTGCACTTTTATGCCCAGGCTCCAAGGGACACAGTAGTCTCTGCTGCACTCATTGGCTGGCATGTGCCCAGTGCCTGGCTGGGTGGCCAAGGACTGGGCCTCCACCCAGCAGAAGAACCTCTCAGCCCAGGACCTAGATGCCTCTCCTCCTACCCTCCCTCCTTACTCCTGCCTAGTCAGCTGTGAGGGTCTGTTTTATGCTCTTGTCTTGCCACAGCTCCAGAGCATCTCTCTAAGACCTAAATGTCCCTGGCCAGGGGTGCGGACCTATGAGACTGGAAGGACCCACAGGACTTAGGCCCTCCCCCTCACAGCAGGAGAGTTACTGGGCAGAATCCATGAACTGGCCAGTGTGTGTGGAAAGGAGGAGAAGCACCACCCATTTGGGGCAGAGAGGTACGCACCTAAGGATGCCGTTCCTGGAAGTTCTCCTGCCATCCCTCAGCCTCGATTGCTCCAAGCCCCTTTCCTTTGCCAAAGCCACTGTGTGTGACTGAGTGACAGGCCCAGGGAAGGAGGAAATGTGCAGGCCCCAGCTGTCCAGGCTGGGCTTGGAGGCTTCGGACCCAAGCTCCCCTATCCACAGTGGAGGTGGCCACAGCCCCTGCTCATGACTCACAGTGGGGCCTCTCCTGTCCCCAGCCCCTACATGTTAAGAAAGTAACTGTCTCTGTGTCCTGGTGGTCCTCTGTCCTAGTGCACGATGCCAAGCTCCTGTCCACATTGTGTCTGATGCAAGACTTACTAATTAAATGTTGGTTAAGCTGGTAAAGGAGCAAGTCTCCTCAGGCACAGAGGCAGTCCTCACACCACCACACAAGTCCACATCTAGGTGCAAAACTCAGGGAAGCCCTGAGAAGCCTGGAGAAAGTGACTGAGGAGACCTGGGCAGTTAGTCTGAGGATCAGAGTGGCTTCCTGGGGGAGGTGAGGGTGAAGGACAAGTGGTAGCACCAGACGGCACAGGCTGGCCCCGTACTGCAGTCAGGGAAGCAGAGTCTTGGTGAAGCAGTGAGAGGGGCAGGAGAGTCCGCTGGTGCTGTCCCCATCCTCTTGCTGGTGAACAGTGACCCTGGTGGGTGAGGTTCCTTGCTGAGACTTCCTTGGGCCCTGCAAAGGCGCTTGCTTTGGGTGTGTGTGTATCATCCTTCAGGCCAGGCCTCCTGAGCGTGCTCACTGGGGACCTGTCCTGAGCGTCTGGGAGGTTGTGAGGATCATGCTGCCTTGGGCAGAGAAGGTGTAGAGGATCATGCTGAGAAGTTGTGAGGATCATGCTGCGTTGGGCAGAGAAGGTAGCTCAGACCAGAGGTAGCAGTGCCCCGTGCTTCCTCTTCTCATTGCCTGCTCTCTATGCTGTGCCTTTCTGGTTCTGCCCATAGCCACAGGCTTAATCCTGCTTCAGAAAGACTAGTAGGATAAGAGGCTGGGACTTAGAGGACCCAGATGCCTGCTTCAGGTCTGAGATCTCACCTCTCTCTGCACCTTGCTCCAATATCTCCAGTACCTCAGCCCTTTTCAGAGGAAAGTCTTAGGAAACTTCTTCCCAAGTGATATTCATTCTAATATTCATTCTCAATCTTCTCTCTCTGTCTCTCACTCCCTCCACCCCTTCTCTCCTTTTACACAGGACTCTATTGTGCTTCAGTGTCAATGTGTCTGGCTGACTTGTAACCTTTTTTCAGTGTATTGTATTGTGTTTGATGTGTTGGGAAAGGAACCCAGGACCTCTTACATGTTAAAGAATATCTTTCCTCCTGAGTCTCAGTTCTCCCTCTCCCATTCCTTAATAGCTCTGTGTGTGTGTGTGTGTTGTGCTGAGGACTGACCTCAGGCAGCTTTGACGATGGGTGAGTGACGAGAGAGGGAGAATGCTTCGAGAACGTGGGCATGCTGTGGCAAAAGTAATGCGCTGCCCTGTGGCTGGATGTCAGCTAAAGCTGAAGATACCCCAGATCCAAGCACACCCTCTGCCCCTTGGTGGTGCCACAATGCAGGAGGGCAAACATTTGAGTGGTCATTTAGGAGTCCTAGGTGACTCCCTGAGGGATCCAGAGCTTCTCTGCTCAGGAACATGAATGTCACCTTGCTCCGTCTCCTAAAGGTGACACACAAGTTGGAGGAGCCCTTGTCTTATTGACAGACAGAACAGGGCCTGAGAGATGAGGAGCTTAATGGTGGTCGGCACCAAGGCTACACCTGTGAGGAACTGGATCCACAACGCAGGCATCTCCACTGTGAATTCTCCCTGCAGGTGAAAGGCCAGCCCCACCCGCAACTCTGGATTAGGAGCTTCAGAGACAGGGCACCTGAGAGGGGTCTCTTCTTGTCCACCCTCTCCCAAAGGCCTAAAGTGGCATGAGACCCTCGTGCAAAGACCGCCTCTACCTGCTGATCAACCAGGCCCACCATCGCCAGCACCTGCTGGCCCTGATTCACCAGTTTCATCTGGTACTGGCAGGGTCCCAGGTGTGGGAAGCAGGTCTGGGTCTGGGAGAGCCTGTGAGAGCAGATTGCTGAGAGGGCAATGCAGCCATGTGGGTCAGGCCAGCCCAGCACCTGCTGGGGGGTGCGGAGCCTTGGTTGGCCCTTGGTGGGTTCTGTGCCCAATGTCTTGTCCCCATCTCCCAAAGACCCTGACCCACTCACCTGAGCTGCATCTCTGCCCGGAACTGCACCATGTGGCCAGATATCAGGTTCCAAACCTTTACAACACGGGGGAGCTCCTGGCGCAGAGTGGGGGAGGGAGGTGTAGGTGTGATGTGTGCTGGGGGCCGCGCCTGCCCTTTAGGCCTCCTGGTAGAGCACATACCACCACCACCAACTCCACGTCATGCCACCCCACCCGCTCAAATCGGCTCTGGCATGGCCGGAACACGGGACTCTCAGCCTGAGGGCAGAAATGTCGCCAGCTGGGGCCTCAGAATGCAGAGGCTGAGGCCTCTGTGCTCATCGGTTGCTTTGCGGACCCCCTTCCAACTCAGGCGCAAGGGAGCCTGTGCTGCAGGCTTGGCGGGGGGTGGGGTGGGAGTGTCTGTGGATCTGTAATTACCCCCTGACAGCAAAGTTGTGCTGCCCTTGAGGGAGCCACAGGATGCAGCGGGAGAGAGACCGCGGACAGGAGACACTGATTCCCTTAGTGGGATCGCATCTGAGACCCTGACAGTGCCCGCGCAGGGGGAGTTGGTGACAACTAGCATGGAAGAACAGTCCGGACACGCATCCCCCATGCTGAGTGAAGCGACGGTCAGTGGACGAGTTGGGACAGTAGGGAGAGGCGCGAAAACTGGTCTGCCCGGAGGACCTCGGAGAACCCGAGGCCAGCAAGGGAAGCTCTGTTCCCTCCGCCTTGCAATCCGGGGTCCTCTGGACCAGGAGCTCCCCAGGGGACCCCGGAAGATCCTCCAGCAGGCGGACCACCCCGGGGGGCCGCGTTGCTGCCAGGCCCCAGCACATCCCTCAGCTTCTCTCCTCAACCCCTAGTATGAGAACTCAATACCCAGTTGTTCCAGCCTCATCCATTTATTGGGGATTCTGGCAAGGAAAAGGGGAAGGCTGAGGGGGGCACAGGGGTCGCAGCCGGTGCAGGGTTCGGGCGACGGTGCTCAGCGGTACTTCTCGGTCAGGATGGAGGACACGATGGACATGAACTTGTCCCAGGCGGCGTGGACATCGGCCGTGAAGTCGGCGGGGAAATGTGCGGCCAGCGTGACCAGCAGACAGTGGGACAGGAGCTGCGGGGGCAGGGAGGGCGGCTCAGGTCTCGGTGCGTGCATGCGTGCATGTGTAACTGAGACCCGGCCGCCTGCGCCCCTGTGCTGACCGACCCATCTCTGTCCCCACCCACACGGCACGCCCACCTTGAAGTTGACGGGGTCCACGCGCAGGATGTAAGCGTGCAGCTCGCTCAGCCTGGTCAGCGCGACCTCCATGTTGTCGAGATTCTTGACCGCGTCGCCCAGGGCAGCCACCACCTTGGAGCCGTGCGCGCGCAGCTGTGGCGACCCCGGGTGCAGGTCGAAGTGAGGGAAGTAGGTCTTGGTCTGCAGGTAGCTGGAGAAGAGCCTGGGAGGCGCGTGTGGCGCGGGGAGGAAGTGTGAGCCTGTGGGCCTCAGTTTGGAGGATGAAGGGAGATCTCCCCAAATCCAGAAGTCATTATTCCGCATATAAATGCATTGACAGTCAGTCACCTATCATTGTGATAACTTAAAATCATAGTTTAACGAAATCTTAAATTAATGTGGCAATTTACATTGAACATTAACGTTTTAAATAAAGACAAGATGAGCAATGCCTGTTTTTCCTGTTGCCCAAGCTCCAGTGAGGCAGAGGCAAGACCTCTGTCCCACTGTCCTCCAGCATTCATGCATTCATTTGCTCAGCCTGCCTGCTACCTGGGGTCAGTGAGCCCCGTGAGGTACAGTCCTACCTCTAGCTCCCATCCCTCTCCACCTATTGCCTCTGCAGCTCACTGACCTCATCCACCCTCCTCACCACCACCAGCCTCACAGTGCCCTTCTCCGCGTGCCCTCTTCCATGTTCCTTCCATGGTGACCAGCCTTCCTGACCCTGCTGACACCTCTCTCTCTGACTCTTCCCCTCCATCCCTTCCTCAGTGACCTTCCCCGCATCCTCTCTACCCACCCATTGCTTCCGATCCTCCTTTGTTGTGTTTTTCAGGCATGGTGTTAATTTGTAGTACAGACAGGCCTTGAACTCACTATGTAGCCCACGCTGAGCTTGAGTTTATGATCCTCCTGCTCCAACCACTTGAGTGCTGGATCACTGGATTCATGCCTGTCATTTACCTCTCCTGCTGACCTCTTCTCACCATCCCCTCCGTAGCTGCTACTTCTACTCACCCTCCTCCTGACCCTCTTCAGTAGGCCTTTCTCACTGACCCCTGCTCTCTGCTCATCCTCACTAATGTCTCCTGCAGATCCCTCCAGCTGCCCTTGCCCTGGTCTCTGCCCTGGTCACTCAGGCCATCCTGTCTGGCTCTTACCTCTCCAGAGTCTCAGTACCAATGGCATCAGCCTGCACAGACATCTTGTCCCAAATGGACATGATGATGGCCTTCTCAGTCTTGGTCAGAGACATGGTAGTAGGGTGGGCAGCTGTGTTGGAGCTGGATGCGCTGAGGTGGTCGGCACCAAGAACGGGCCTGGTGATGCTCACCCTCCAGGTTCCCCTTATATGCACAGTGCTGTGGGCCCAGCCAGGCTGTGGTCATTGGTTGGGAGAGGTCATTGGTTGCAGGGCTGAGGGGTGGGGTCTCTTATCTGACCCAGTGACAATGGGCAGCCAGGGCCTGGTGGGCCTGGGGGGGGTGAGGGGCTATCACTCCTCTTGGCCTTAGAGGGGGTGTTGGCCATAATGTGACACAGAATCTAGGAGAGATAGGGGCCCAGCCTTCCCAGGAGGTCATCCCTGCCTTTGAAGTTCAGCCCTGCACTGTCATCCATTTCAGAATGGCCAAGTGGGGCCCAATGTGCACCCTCCTTAGGGACATTCCCCACCATGCTGCCTGTGCCACCCCCTTCCAGCTTATCTCTGTGATTCCTGAATTTCTCCAAGAACAGCAAGGGTTCTGCTGTCCCAGCACTGAGGTTAGGCTGGGAGCTTGTAGGGTGATGGAACGGTTCTGTATCCTGTCACACAAATCTATACGTGTATCAAATTCCTAAAGCATGTTCAGAATGCTGTCAAATGCCTGTAATCCCTATGCTTTGAGAGTCTGAGGCAGGAGGATTTCAAATTCAAGCCCCACTTGGGCAATTTAGTGATTAAGCAAGACCTCCATCTCAGAATAAGAGAGGACTGGGAATGTAATTCAGTGAGAAGACCTGTGTTCAATTCCCAATAACCTCCCCTCCTGACAAGCACACACACACACACAAATCAGAGACTAGTAAACCCTAAAAAAGTCAATTTATTGTATGTAAAATGAAACCAAAAGGAATATGTCTGTCATGTTACAGTGATGAGTATGAAGGCTATATTATAGTCACTGTGTATACCGCATGAGGTAAACCCTGCTTGTTTAGCCTGTCGCCCACTCCTGTTGGTGGGGACACAGACAGGTCAGTTGAGGTAAGGTCTAGCTATGTAGTTCAGACTGGCCTGATCTCACTATGTAGCCCAGGCTTACCTTGAATTTACCCCAATCCTCCTGCCTCAACCTTCTCAGTGTTGGGATCATAGGTGTGTACTACCTTGACTGGCTTGGACTCTATTCTGTTCCATGATTTTTATGTGTCTATCCTTCACCATAATCACAGTTTGATTTTGATTACTGTAGACAATATCACTAAATTGTGCAACCTGGGCTGGAACTTTTAATTTTCATTTTTTAACCCTTTTGCTTCAACCTCCCATAGTGTTGAAGGGGATTACCAGCATTCTCCACCAAACCTAGCTCTGAACTCACTTTATATTTATTTACTTATGTAGAGACATGGTCTTACTATGTAATTCAGGTTGGTCTTGAACTCACTATGTAGCCCAGGCTGACCTGGAACTCCCAGTGATTCTGCTGCCTCAGGATCCCGAGTGCTGGGATTGCAGTGCTGGGGTTATCACACCTGGATGAACTCACTTTAAATGGGTGAATTGTAAGGTATAAAGCTGAGGTAGGAGTATCATACATTCCTTTCTCAAAATAAATTTAAAAACAAATAAAAATTTTAAAAGAGGGGAAAGGGGCTGGGGATAGTTCAGTGAGTTCAATATAGAACACTGAGAACAAATCAGGTAATGTGATCTCTCCCACTTTTTGCTCTTTTTCAAAGTTGCTTTAAGCTGGGCGTGGTGGTGCATGCCTATAATCCCAGCACTCGGGAGGATGAGGCAAGAGGATCCTTGTGAGTTCGAGGCCAGCCTGGGCTACAAATTGAGCTCAAGGCCAGCCTGAACTGCATAGCGAGACCCTGTCTCAAAAAGACAAAAAACAAAAACAAAAACAAAAAAACAAAGTTGCTTTGGCCCTTCTAGTTCCTTTACCTTGCCTTACAAATTTTAGAGTTAGCTAAGACTTATCTGCAGAAAATCATGCTGGAATTTTGAAGTAACCAGGGGAATTTTAATTACAGATATCTTGCTAAACTATTCATAGAGAAAAATGCAGGGTTTGGATAAAATCTCTGAATTTAAAAAACATGTACAAACATAAGCAAGTATTAAGCACCCTGTGTATGTGAGGCACTATGCTCGGTGTTTAACTATCACAGTGGAGCTTGTTTCTTTTATGCCTGAAATGTGAGAGGATGAGATTGTTAAGGCTGAGGTCAGGAGCAGTATGTGATGCTTCCCTGCTTTGCAGATAACATGGTCTCACTCTGGCTGCTTAGTACCTGTTTGTGGCCTGGACTTTGGGTCTGCCTTTTAGGAAGCCCCTCCCAGTACTGTCTGGCTTTCTCTCCTTCCTCATCTATTCCTTATTTAGATTTCTCAGCTGTCCCCTATTTTCGTATGGCAGCGTTCCCTCTGCCAGGGATGTGCTCAACCGCCTGTTGTCTTCCATTAGCTTACTAGCTGTCCTGGTGATGCTGCTGCTGGCATAAGTGGCCCCAGGATGCTCGCTTGGAGTGGGACCTTTCCTTGTCCAGGGCCTGGCACCTCCTAGCCTCATACTTGGGGCCACATTGGGCCTGTGTAAGAGGGTATGGGGCTGTGGGTGAGGGTTTACTCCTAGAAAGGAGAAAAGTGCCAGGAACTGGGACAGAGACAGATGGACAGACAGAGAGGACAGGATGTGGGTAAGACAGGGAGTCCGTGGGTCAGTGGAGGGAGATACATAGAGTTGGAAGGGCAACACTGGAAGAGAGACAGAGGGAGCCACAGAGATACGAGAGATGTGGCTTGGAGGGTCCCTATAGAGGCAGGAGGCACCATAGGGCTTCTCTGTCCCGAACAGAGGAGGCAGTGACAATGGATTCCAGGATCCTGCTTCCAGGGAAGCCACCTCTGTTAGTAGGGATAGTACTCAGCTGCTCTTGGGCCCTAGGGTCTCCTCTGCCCCTCCTGGAAGCACTATCCCTTCACATCTGGGCTGTCAACAGGACAGGATGCCAAAGAGGGCTCTTTTGTTTTTGTTTATTTTTTTTGGTACCGGAAATTGAACTCAGGAACTTGTGCTTGCCAGGCAGGTGCTGTGCCACCAAGCTATATCCCCAGCCCTATTTTTGAACTTCCAAACTACAAAGCATTGTCACGGGCAGGTATTATTTCTCT